GGCCTCTTTCGTCTGGTTGGCTGTCAGCAATCCCTTCCAGCGATAGCAAGACACTGAACAACTTCCAGTATCGCCACGCCGTCGCCGGGTGTCTCGGCATTGCCCTCCCGCACGCAACCGTCTCGCAGCCATGCATCTGCGGCGGGGAGGTTGACAAGTTTGGCGATCACTTCTACGTGTGTCATACCGGCCGTGAGCGGGTCACGAGACACAACAACATGCGCAACTTGTTTGTTCGCATCCTGGCTGAGGCAGATGTTCCCTCCAATGTGGAGGTGTCTCTGCACAGCCTCGGCATCACCCCGCCTGACGACAACCCTAACCGCCAGCGATTACTTGCTCGACGTCACCGTCGCCCACCCCTGCCGCCCTGACAACTCCCCCGTTCCCTTCCACCGGATAGTCAAGCGGCGTGGCGCACAGCTTCCGGGTGGCAAGGCGGCTCAGCTTGCGGAGAAAGACAAGATCGACAAGTATGGACCAATCACCCAAGCAGCGGGCTTCCGCTTCGTGCCTCTCGCTGCGGAGACATTCGGCAGATGGGGAGACAAGACCATGGATTTTCTCAAGATGCTCGCCAAACGAAAGCCTCGCCCCACATCCATTCCCATGGAGGAGGACACAGCATTCCGAGAGAGCATCGTCAACCATTGGAGCCAGCTTCTGTCCGTCGAGCTGATGAAGCACAACGCGTTTCAAGTGGCGAGTCGTGCGCAGCGCGCGGCGGCCGCCAGAGGGCCACGGAGGGCCAGCGCGGTTCCGGAGGACTTCGTCAGCCGCGGGCCATACAGGCCACACACCAGTCCCGCTCCGGGGCTGTGAGGTGGCTGGCTGGATCTAGGTTCTGAATGTGTGTGTCATCAGCTCGACGGACAGAAGCTGGCTCCAATGGTCGTGCATGCGCAGGTGTGCACACACAGACATTCACCATATACACACACTCCAAGTCGACACGTGCAGGTGCAGGGGTACGTACAGAGACATTCATCATATACACACACACTCCAAGTCCAAACGTGCATGCGCAGGTGTGCGCGCACACAGACATCCATTGTATACACCCACTCCAAGTCCAAACGTGCATGCGCATGTATGCGCATAGAGATTCACCATCATATACACACACACCAAGTCGACACGTGCAGGCGCAGGGGTACGTACATAGACATTCATCATATACACACACTCCAAGTCCAAACGTGCATGCGCAACTGTGCGCGCACAGAGACATTCATCATATACACACACACCAAGTCCAAACGTGCATGCGCAGGTGTGCGCATAGCGGCATTCATCATATACACACACCCCAAGTCCAAACATGCATGCGCAGGTGTGCGCACACAGATTCACCATCATATAGACACATTCCAACTCGACGCGTGCATAAGCCGGTGTGCGCATACAGACATTCATCATAAAGATACATCCACTCGAAATCGACATCCATCCACTCGAAGTCGACGCGTGCATGCGCAGGTGTGCGCACACAGACATTCATTATATACACATTCATCATATACACACTCCCCAAGTCCAAATGTGCATGCGCAGGTGTGCGCATAGCGGCATTCATCATATACAATTCATCATATACACACACTCCAAGTCCAAACGTGCATGCGCAGGTGTGCGCACAGCGGCATTCATTATATACACATTCATCATATACACATTCCCCAAGTCCAAATGTGCATGCGCAGGTGTGCGCACACAGACATTCATCAAATACACACACTCCAAGTCGACACGTGCAGGTGCAGGGGTACGTACATAGACATTCATCATATACACACACACTCCAAGTCCAAACGTGCATGCACAGGTGTGTGTCGCGTGTATCTATTTGTGGGTGAGACTCCCGAGGCTGGATAGCTACCGAGACTTGAGTGGACAGCTGTCCCTCTAAGTGTCCAGCCGGCTCGATGACCTTGAAGCTTCACAGATTGGCGAAATCAAGCCTGTTGCGATTGTGGTCCTTGCGTCGCAGCCTTTCGGAAGCGTGTAACCTATACCTCTGCTTGTACGGTGACCTCGCAGTGTGCGAAACCGCCAGACAGCTCTGAGTGACGTTGGAGTTTCCCCCCTTGGGTCGGGCCACGATTCAATTACGGTTCCGCCGAGCCGAGGGAGCTGTCGAGTTGTATTGGCCAAAAGAGCACCTCAACATGCCATTGGCTCGGACAGTGGGCCAAGCTGTAGACAAGCTTTGGGAGAAGAAGGGATCCCTTGGCATCAGGTCCTCCAGAGTGAAGACGAAGACGACCCTTCTCGGCCTCGTCGAAAGCGGCTACGAGCCATTGCGAAAAAGCGGATTCGGCCCCTACCTGAGGGAAAACCGTGATGAGTTTGGGATGTCATCAAGGATATCCCTTCCGATGAAAAGGCGACGGAGAGAAAGCAAGCAAGCTCCAGGAGGAAGCGCCTACGTCGTCGCATTATATCGACTTTCTTGGAGCTTCAAACCATGCTGATCGGCCTCGCTATGTGCACCTTCATTATCATGGCCTACTACGACATCACAGAAGTCAATGAAATCAGCGCCCAATGGCTCATGTATGTGTTCGTGTCTGCTGTGGGTCTCTTCGTCGCAACAGCACTTTTTCTTGCAGTTAGCTCTTCATGTATGCGCGTACACCAGTTTGCTGAGGAAGAGGGTGGGGAGGACGATGAAGATGAGGAAGATGCATAGCCTTACTCATCCTGCTATACAAGTACCTCTATCTGTGTACATGTTCGGAGTGTAAGAATCAGTGGATTTACAGTGAGGCAGGTAAAGGCCGAAGCCTCATTCATGCGTGGAGTGGGCGCCAATATGGTTGAACAGTAGAAAAGACAGTACGGAACAATGTGCGTGTGCAGCCACTTTCCTTCTGTAGCTAGCGGTAAAGCAGCTGTTGCAATAATAGGGAGATTTCAATACTTCGGTATGCATGAAAAAAATACTCGAGGACCATCTGGCTTCCGTTCTCCTGTATTGAAAGCGGAAGCCTTTCTCATGCTCATATCTCTCACTTTGATCCATCTCGGTGTCGGGTAGAATTGCTTTCGAACGGGCATGTTTTCTTCTTTGAAAGGGGCGGCGTGTGCATCTTCAGGTGTGTTGACGATCGCCAATCTGGATTAGACCATCGAAGACTGATGTCATCAGATGTCACAAGTCAATTGAGCTTCTTGTTCACCTTCCGAAGATGCGTAGAAACTTTGTCTTTGGTATTTCTGGTGCGCACCTGCCATGAGCGGAGCAAGACACACAGATATTTAACTGGCCAACAGTTGCTAAGTTTCTCATGGCAACTCACAAGTATGTAAACGCATGGCTAATCGATATTCAGCAGGACCTGCAATGTCAGTGTCACGTCGTCGATCGTTATCTCAGTCGCCTGTTCGTTGTGTAATGAAGTATCTTCCTACGCAAAGCAGGAATCACGCCAACTACCTCCTCAGAGCTCTGAGTCGTGCGGCACGCACAAATAGAGGGTCTGACCGCCTTCGTATCTTCGTGTCTCCCTTTGGTAATAGAAGTGCAGCACACCCTT